GTGTTAGGGTTTCCGTGCCAGTTCTTGTCTGGTGCACCTCATTATTATGCCCATTGTTCCTACCACTACATTTTGTTTGAAGCAGCCTCTTACTTTGTAGTCCAGAGTGACTCAAATCCACATCAACCCCCCTGTCTCATCAGCCCCCAAGTTGTTATTATAGATAGGTTCTTTTCAATTTTTCTTCTGGTGTCTTGTTTACTTACTATATTGAAACATGGATGCTATTGTTACCATACTTGGTGTTATACTGTATCCCAAGAAGCCAAGTTTGTTCACCCACTATTGAGAAATCAGTTATTAGCAAAAAGTGAGCCAAACCAGCAGGAAAAATCAGACCAAAGAGGCTTCTCTCCACATGGCCACTTTGGGAAGAGAGACAGAGATCCAATGATCCCCTCAACTCCATCTTCAGGGTCTCGAGGTGAGATTAAAATTAAATGAGGTCCAAAGGCTAGTTGTGGTGGTGGATATTGGTAGGATTTACTGAAGGAGACAGAGGCAGGAGGATCACAAATTTGAGGCCAGCATGGGCTACAGAGCGAGTTTTAAGATAGCCAGGGCTAAACAGAGAAACCCTGTCTCAAAAAACAAAAACAAACAAACAAGATAGAGAGGGCCGAAGATACGCCCATCTAAGCAATCCAGGTCAAGAAGTGGTCCAGCCTGCCACTGACCTATCACTGCCTGGGCTCCTCTCTCATCTCATAAGATGGTCTGGCAAGATAGAAGAACTGAGCAAAATCTCTTTCCTGGAGACAAGTCTCCCTCCGGCTGAACCCAGGCCTCATCCTTTTATTTCTTTCACCACTCGATTCCTGGGGGGAATCCCAGTTTCTTGGGCTCTGCAGTTTCAGTAGTCTAGTAGTCAAAGTGAGGGGCACAGGTGTCTCCAGAATACACTCATTTGTGCCATTCCAGTTACATTAAAACAGCAGAGTCTCTCAAAATTTTATTTTCTCCCAGGAATTTTGCCTGCCATGAAAAGATTTCTCCCAGTTCTGACAGACTTATCATAAATTAGTGTATGCCTATTTCCTGGCTTTTGCTTCATTCCTTCTTCCTTTTTTATTTGTAATTTTTTTAAAAATACAGATTTATGTATATGGGCAAAAATACAGATTTTGTCTATGTTAAGTCTAAGCACCACATGCATGCCTGACATCTGAGGAGAGTGTGTGTCCCTGAAACTACTGAAGTTCCATGCCTGATACCTGAGGAGAGTGTGGGTCCCTGAAACTACTGAAGTTCCATGCCTGATACCTGAGGAGAGTGTGGGTCCCTGGAACTACTGAAGTTCCATGCCTGATACCTGAGGAGAGTGTGGGTCCCTGGAACTACTGTAGTTACGGAAGGTGGTGAGCTGCAGTGTGAGCACTGGGAATCAAACCCAGGGCCTCTGGAAGAACAGCCAGTGATCTTAGGAGCTGAGCCATTTCTCCAGCCCCGTTCTATCTTTTCTGTGATATTGGTACCCTACTATAAGAGAGGTGGACAGACTGTAGGAAACCTTCCCTGGTTTGGACAGACAACAAGTTAATTTTTCTATACCAATTTTTGTTTCTTCACATCTCTAGGAATACAGGAAAACCATATGTGACGGCTAATATATGGAATCCCACACACAGGAGGCTGAAGCAGGATTGCTAAAAGTTTGAGGGGAGCCTAGACTGCAGAATAATCTTGTGTTAATAAACCTTAAAGAAAGAAAAAGAAAGAAAGGAAGAAAGAGAGAAAAAGAGAGAGAGAGAGAGAGAGAGAGAGAGAGAGAGAGAGAGAGAGAGAGAGAGAGAGAGAGAGAGAGAGAGAGAGAGAGAAGGAAAGAAAGTCACCCATGACCTGACACAGTTTTGGTGATGTCAACCAGGAGCAAAAGTTGTTTCCTACAGTTGGATCACAGGGAAACTTCCCACTGGTAGCTTTCCCTACATTCTCAACTATTAAAGTTGGTTGCATATAAACCCATATGGATTAATTGCTGAAGGAAAGGAGTTTTTGTTTTGACCCAGTCATACTTTCGAGGAAGTGTTGTAGTTTTTCAGTTTTATGATTTAGGGAGTTCCTGGCAACTCTGTGTGTTCTACACCATGGTTTGGCTTGTGCTTTTGGTACCAATTTGTAAAGAAGTTACCCTTGAAATGCCTGTCACTCTGAAGACCCAGCTGAGTCATTCGCTGAATGTTGCTTGGTAATGTGACAGCAGGGTTCAGCATTTCATTTCACAGAAGCAGCCTGATTTGCTATTGGCCTTTAGATTTAATCTTTGTCTACATGTTTGAGATGTGGAAATCATTTGGACTAGCTGACAGAATGGAAGAAACTATATTAAAAAGATCTAAAGCATACAGAGAACTAAAAAGCTAAACCAGAAATCAAATGACCCAATCAACAAATAAATGAACACACAGTTTTCAAGAGTTTTTCTTACTGCTTTGACTATCTGAGGTCTTGTACTTTCATATGTATTTTATGATTTTTTTTCTAGTTCTGTGACTGGTGTTGGAAGTTTGATGGTAATTACATCAAATCTGTAGATTGCTTTTGGTAGGAAAGCTTCTTTCTTTCTTTCTTTCTTTCTTTCTTTCTTTCTTTCTTTCTTTCTTTCTTTCTTTCTTTCTTTCCCTCTTCCTTTCTTTTCTCCTTTCTTTCTTTCCTCCTCCTCCTCCTCCTTCTTTTTGTTTATCTTTTTCTTTTTTCTTTTTGGTTATTCCAGACAGGGTTTCTCTGTGGCTTTGGAGGCTGTCCTGGAACTAGCTCTTGAACTCACAGAGACCTGCCTGTCTCTGCCTCCTGAGTGCTGGGATTAAAGGTGTTTGCCACCACTGCCTGGCTGCTATTTTAAGGATATTAATTCTTCTAACCCATGAGTATACATCTTTCCATCTCCTAGTGCCTTCCTCAATTTCCTCTTTGATGTTTTAAGTTTATATTTAAGAGAAATTTCACTTCCTTGGCCTAGCTTTGCTCCAAGGGGACATGTCTCGGGCGGGTTGGTTTGTTGTTCTTTTGTTTGTTTCTTTGTTTTGAAGCTATGGTGAATAGAATTGCTTCCCTGAGTGTTCTCTTAGTATGCTTGTCATATAGAAAAGCTATTTTTTTTAATGAAGTACCCTGCTAGTTTGCTGAAAGTGTTTATCAAGCCTAAGAGTTTTCTTTGAAGTCTTTAGGGTCTCTAATGTATAATATAACCATATAACCTGCCATTAGGACACTTGGACTTCTTTCTTTCTGTGTGTACCCTTTTTTCCTTCTCTTGACTTACTGTGCTGGCTACGTCATTAAGCACTGTATTTAATGGGGGTGAAGAAGGGAGATGATGTTGACTTGTTCCTGATTTTAGTGGAAATGCATTTAGTTTTTCTCCCTTTACAAGATGTTAGGTGTAGGTTTCTCATATGCTGCCCTTATTATGTTGATATGCCCCCTCTATTCCTAGTCTCTTGGAGAGGGGCTTACTATGCAAGGACATTAGAAGCTGTCACGGCCATTTCCATAGCCATTGAAAAGATCCTTTGGTTCTTGTCCTTGATTTGCATATGTTGAATAATCCCTGCTTCACTGGGATAAAGACAACTTGGTCAGGTTGACTGATTTTTTTAAATGTATTTTTGAATTTGATTTGCAAGTATTTTATTGAGAATTTTTGCACTTATGTTTATCAGGGAGCTTGGTCTATTTTTTTTATTGTGTCTTTATATGGTGTTGGTATCAGGGTAATGCTAGGTGTGTAAAAATAATTTGGGAGTTTTATTCCTCTATGGAATAGACATGGAATAATCTGTTAAGGATTGGTGGTAGTTCATCTTTAATTGACTGCTTAAATTCCACAGTGACTCCATCTAGGCTTCGGCTTTTTTTTTGTGGTTGGGAGATTTTAAAATGATTGTTCTTTAAATTTTATCCAACCCACCCCCACCTCTCACCTTCTATCTTCTTTTTTGTCTTCTTTTTTGGGGGGGTGGGCAGGTTTTCTCTGTGTAGCCCTAGCTCTATAGACCTGGCTGGCCTCAAACTCACAGAGATCCACCTGCCTCTACCTCCCTGAGCACTAGGATTAAAGGTATGTAGCACTATACCCAACCCCTTTCTAGAAGTCTAATTGTTTTTGTTTTTTATGTTACGTATTGTATATGAACACCTGATTTTTGACAAAGAACCAAAAAATACACAATGGAACAAAGGAAGGATCTTCAACAAAAAGTGCTGGCATTGCTGGATCGTGCCATGTAGACAATTGTAAATAGATCCATGTCTACCACCATGCACAAAAACAACTCCAAGTGGATGAAAGACCCCAACATGAATCCATTTCATTGAACCTGATGAAAGAGAAAGTGTGAAGTAGCCTTGATCACATTGGCACAGAAGACTACATCCTGAATATAGCACCAGCAACACAATCACTGAGATCGACAGTTAATTAATGCAACCCCTGGAAACTGAAAAGCTTATGTAAGGCTAAGGACAACATCAATAACAAAAAATGTCTTAGAGAATGGGAAAAGATCTTCACCAACTACACACATGACAGAGAGCTGGTTTCCAAAATATATAAAAATCTCAAGAAGCTAGACATCAAAGTACCAAATACTCCAATTAAAAAAATGTGGTACAGATTTAAACAGAAAAAAGCGCCAACGTGTCGTTCCCTGTGAAGTCCCAACACACAGAGATGATTGGTGCTCATATTTAACACAAAACACACGCACAGTAGCAAGGACTCAAGGACATGGCTAGGGTTATGATGTGCTAGGGCAATTAGGGGTGAGTTGAGGATTAGGGTAACAGATGCTGGTCAGCACTAGGGACTCAGATGGCAAAGCTGAGGTGCTGCCTGTTCCCAGACATCCCTGGGAGCTGTGGAACGGGGAGCACGTGTGTAAGGGTGTCGATTAGAGCAGCTGGGAGGAGGGAGGGGCCCTGGGGGACTCTAAGATAAGCCCCATGTGAGGAGACCCCAGGTGTGACCTCACTTCCTTAGTGATGACTCAACAATGCAGAACCCTGCAACCAGCTAGCCAACTGCTGAGAGACAGTTTGGCAGGCTCACTTGTCTTGAGACAGTAGAGAAAGCACAATGTTTTCGTCCTGTCTCGGGAATACTCGAGAAAGAGGCTCAGACCTCAATAAAGATGAAAGTGGAGGCCATGGTGGAGGCCGTAGTGGTGCCTGGAGACAACGGGCACGCTCTTGGCTCCAAGTCCTCTGGCCATTTGGCCGGAAAGAAAGAAACTTGAGCCAGGGCAGCCAGGGCAGCCAGGGTAGCCTGGGAATCCAGGGAAACCAGGGAAGCCAGGGCAGCCAGGGTAGCCTGGGAATCCAGGGAAACCAGGGCAGCCAGGGAAGCCAGAGCAGCCATGGCAGCCATGGCAGCCAGGCGATCCAGGTCCAGGGCGACACGGACCAGGTGAGCACTGTCTGATCTCAGAGTTTCACCCAGGTTCATTCTGGGTCTTTGGCAGTGAGGAGGTTCAGGAACAGCTGGAACGATGACAACCAATCAGAAGGTAGCAGTCCTGTGCCTGTCTGAACCATCCACCTTGCTCTCTCCTCAGGTCGGGGTGGAGTCTGCCCCTGAGGAGCTGAACGAGTCCCCTAGAATGCCCCATTTCGGGCCCCTGGAACAGATGTCGGCCCTCCTGGTGACGTCCCTGCAGGGTGGAGACTCCTTCTTTGTGTTTCTCTTCTACTGCATACACCAAAAGTTTCTCACCACTCAGCATGTGCTGGACCTGCTGTTCAAGCGGTGAGTGCCCACCTCCGAGCTCAGAGGCCTCAGATCCTCTTGTTGGCTGTGGGAATCGCTCTGCCTTTCTCAGTGCCTACTGATTGTCCTGGGTCTCCTCAGGACCCAACAGCATGCAGTCAGAAAATGCTTCCTCCAGGCTTTGCCCTAGGGACTGGCCTGTCCGCAGCTGAGAACCTAACCAGTGTGGGTGTCCTCTGAACCCTGAGGAAGCTCTGTACCCTTGGCCCAGTTTTACCTGAGGCCTTGGTCAAAGCACTTCTCCCATTGTGAAGGGGGCTAGACTCCATTTTGGAGTAGCAAAGAGCGCTGCTGTGTCCAGAGTGGAGAGCCGTGGACGGTAATGTGAGGGAGGCACCCTGTGTCCGCTGAGGTGTCTGGATAGAGATGTTTGTGATCACCCACCCACTGCACAAACATATGAGAAGCAGCTCCTCGTATGCAGGGGAGCTAGTTATTCTCAGAGCAGACAGAACTTCTAGGCTCTGGAGTTTGATTCCTCTGCAGGAATGCGCAGCCCCCCCCCCCCAGGTGTCTTTTTCGGTGGCTCTCCTGGTGACATCACCCTTCCTGGTCTCCTCTAGATACACTTCCTTCCGGCCCGACTCTGAAGAGGATGAACGAGTAAAGTAGTAAGTGGGCTCTGGAACGAGACAAGTGCCGCCTAGGCTCTCCAGAGCCGGCTCAATTGGGTTCTAAAGGCAAGGGATGGCCGATGCTTGGGTCTCAGCATCTTCGGGTCTACTACCATATGGAGGTCTAAGCCTTGCCTGGAGGCTGAGGAGAACCTTCCGGGCAGGGTCCTCGAAAGTGGGGATATGGGGAAGCCTAGGGCCTCCAGTGCCCCTGGGAGACTCTACCCTCGTCTCAGTCCTTGGTGTGCGGGCTGGGTCAGCTGTGCTGCATCAGAGCCCGAGATGGAGTTGGTTGGAGCTCCCAGCTCACACAGACCTCGCAAGGGCAGGATCTCTTCCACCTTGCGGTGGGTCTCACACCCGCAGAGCCCTCCCTCGGAGGGCTGGCAAAGGAAAGAGCAGGCCACCGACTGTGCTGTCTGTCCCTCTCTGCCAGCACCATCTATTCCCTCCTGGACTACTGGATCAACAAGTTCCCTGAGGAGTTTTGCAGGATCGAACACCTGCCCATTCTGAAGCGGGTGAAGGATTACTTGAGCGTGAACATGCCCTCCTCTGACCTTCTGGTCCTTGTCCAGTATATCCAGGAATACTTGCTGTCACAAGTGGCCAGCGATTCAGGGGCCAGCGATGAGGAAGCCTCGGGGTAGGTGCTTGAGAGCCTGGGAGCAGGGTTCAGGACCTGGAGTGCTGTGGGGATCCTCTGAGAGCTTCCTCTGTGCAGGAGCTACCGATGGATTCTAAGCCGGGCACATGTCCTTTCTGAGGATAGATTCTGTCTGGGACACCGGGCAGACATGGTCTCCTCTCTGTCGGGAATGGCTCATTCTAGGCACGTCATCTCCTCCTGTAGGTCCACGACCACGTCCCCTCCTAGAGACGCCGGCTTGAGCAACACACCTGTGTGCAATCTTAGACCAGAGCAGCAGCGCCTCCGCAGATCCAGTGCTCCAAGTGTGTTGACCAGCAATGGCGACGGCTACTCTGGAGCCAGAAGCAGCCTGTGCACTGGAGCCGGAGAGCACACAACCGACACAAGGTTCTGTGACCCGTGTGCAGCTGGAGCCACATGTGGCAGCAGCAGCGGGCTCATCGCCACCCACTGAAGCTGTCGCTGTTGGCCGTGAGGGCAGACGCGGTACCACATTCAACATCTTGCTTGGGCCGCAGTGGTCTGCCTCCCCAGGGAACGGCCCGGCCACCCCTTCCTCCTCCTCTGGTCGTCTGCATGTTTCTGCCCTGCAGACGGCACAGCTTCTGGTGTTTCCCCACAGAACGACTCCCCGATTGCAACCCAGCAGCCTTGCCTGCCCCACAGCCAGACTCACCCTGCCCTGGCTAGCAGCCTTTTGACTCTGATCAATGTTGTGTTAGTTTAGTCCGAGGATTGGTTTGAATAAATTGCTCTTGTTTGTGTTTCATTGTCTGAATCGTGGATATGACGTCCACTCTGCATGCATGTACTGGGCCTAGGGGAACGGCTACGTGGGAGAGGCTACGTGGAGACAGACCTTCCTGGAGAAAGGGAGATAAAAGCCCCGGCCTTGACAGAGGCCAGCGGAATGCCTGGGAGTGGTGCTACCTGTCCGTATAGCTGTGGCTGGCTGTCATTGGCTGGGGTCCTGACGGCCAGGGTCATGTGCTTAGAGGTCAGGCGACCAGGTGTCCCTCCAAGGGGTTTCTCCTTGAGTTGCAGGCTCCTGTAGCTGGGTAGCAGCCATATTTCAGGGGCCGATGAGGACAAACTCTAATGTCACGAGATCACTTCTTGCCATGTGCACAAGGACAGGATAGAAATAACATGGCATAATTGGGGGAATTTATGAGACTGATATTTTATTGTCATTGAAAGTAAATTATGAATTTAATAATGAAATATGGAATAAAGAATATAAGTGATTTGTGGTTTTTATGACCGCCAACTTTCCTGTATTTGTGTGCCTTCAATCTCTCCTAAATAGGTTTTCTTTACACCAAATGTAGACTACCACATAGAACCACAACTGAACACAGAGATCCACAAGTCATGTGGTGTGGATCTCAATGGACACATCACACTCACAGCTGCTGCTTCTATGCACAGGGAACACTGCCAAGGGAACTTCATGAAAGAATGGGGGAAGATATTGTAAAAGTTAGACTGACATGAATTTTGTTGTGAACATCTGTCAGAAACAGCTACACAACGAAGACCAGAACAATGGCAATGTCCATGAACATGTTAATGTGTAAGAGGGAAATTGTCATGGGGTCACTTTCACCAGGAACTATAGTTAGGTAATGATTATGGGGAAAAGCACAATTAGCCTCTCCTGCTGGGTAATCCACTTATCGGTTTTCTCCTGATGTGTGGCCAAACTTGAAATTACTGTACACAAATAATAAAAATGGACCCAGATCTTTGTAATTATGTTTTTGTGAATACACATATGAATACACATATGTATCAATCAATCAAAGAAAAAGAGCATGGAGGAGTTTGACACTTTTTATTGGAGGAGTTTTATAAGGGTAGCTGGAAGAAACTTTAGGGAAGATACCATGGTAAAATGTAATATATTTCTACTAAACCCATTAGCATAAAATAATCTTTTATAAAAGGCAGTGTAGGTACATGCCATTTAATTGTACAGCTTTCACCCAATTAAGTTGTGTAGGGAAAATAAGACAAAATTAAAGGAATCATTACAATAGGTGAAACAAAGGAATCTGAATAAGCCATTGGGACCAAGCTGGTAACAGCATTCCATATGGTCTCTGTCTCTGTCCCTGATTTCCAGATATGTGATCGTACACTTTGAAGATGTATCTCTGTCCTTCCTTGACTGCCTAAGGCACCTTATGATTGGGTTTATAAAGAGCTCAAATGTAGGTGGATTTTTGTTTGTTTGTTTCTTTGTTTTACTCTTTGGGAAGCCTGTCACCCAGTTCCCAAATAACCACAAGTAGACTTATTCATATGAATGGCTGGTCTTATCTCATCTCTCTTATCTCATCTCCAATCAGCTTTTTTTCTTGACTTCAATCATCCCATCTACCTTTTGCCTCTGGGTTTTTACCTTCCTCCATTTCTGTGTATCTTTTCTTCTTACTCCATGGCTGTGTAGCTTGGTAGCTGGTCACTGTGTCCTCTTTCCTTTTTTCATGTTCTATCTGGGTTTTTTGCTTGAATTTCCATGACCAGAACTTACTCTTGCTGCTTCTGTCTTCTTGAAATATGGGGTGTCATCTGAAGAATTTACATTCTTCCTACAATCTTCCAGTGACCTAATTCCTTCCAATCTACCCTATAATATCATGGCTCTTGGTTTTTCTGCATCCATGGCAATAACTTAAAAGGGAAAGGCAAGAACCATGTGTTTTACCCTCAACTGGATGCATTGTGTTCTCTTACATGTCTGTCTACAGTTAGCGTCACATTACAAACATTAAAATGCTTAGGAACAGTGTAGGTGAAGAACTGAAATCAGAGCTTGCCCACTGAAACTTTCAGTACCTGAGCAATGGTTTATACAGAGAATTGTCTTAGTTGGTTTTGTGTAGCTGTGACAATACCCCAGAGAAGTGGAATGAGGCAAGATCTCCTGAGCAAATTGGGAACATGGGGGGAGGGGAGAGGGAGCCAGGAAAAAGAGAGGGGGATAAGAGGAGTGTAGAAGAAGGTATGGGGGAGCAAGAAGGTTGAGTTGATGTAAGAATAGAGGAGAGCAGGATGATTGAGTCATTATAGGCTTGAGGAGAGAGCTGACACTAGTGAGATCTCCAGAGATCTACAAGGATAACACCAACTGGCAAACTAAGCAATAGTGGAGAGACTACATTAAATGTCCCTCCTTGATGGTAGGGTTGATGACTACCTTATATGCCATCCTAGAACCTTCATCCAGTGACTGATGAAAGCAGAGACAGATGCCCACAGCTAAACACTGAGCTGAACTCCTGGAACTTAGTGGCAGAGACGGAGGAATGATGAGCAAAGGGGTTAAGACCATGATGGTGAAACCCACAAAGACAGCTGACCGGACAAGGGGGAGCTCTTGAATCCCAGACTGATGGTTGAGAGGCCAACAGGGGACTGATTCAGACTCCATGAATGTAGTCTCAGTGAGGAGGCCACAGAAATCTCTGGGGCCTTGGGTAGTAGATCAGTATTTACCATAGTTTATGAATGAGCTTTGGAAGCCCATTCCAAATAAAGGGATGCTCTCTCAGCCTGGACACATGGGGTTGGGCCCAGGACCTGCCCAGGATGAAATGACAGACTTTAGAGATTCCCCCCCTAGGAGGGCCTCACCCTCCCTGGAGAATGATGCCGGGACTGGGTGGGGGACTGGGGGTTGGTGGAGGGACAAGGGAGGAGGGGTGGGAGAGGGAGTTGGGACTGACATGTGAAGCATTTGTGTTTCTAATTTAATTAAAAACATTGGAAAAAGGGGGGGGGGGGAAGAAAACCCTCTGCTTAAATCCTGTCACAAGGTGTCTTTCTCTTGAGCACTGCTTTTCTTAAATTATAACAGTTGCAGCAATAAAATTGCTAAGACACCAACTCTTTATGCCTTTTGTAATGGATAGATCTCCAGGTTACCACATACTGACAATAAGTATATTTCTTAACACTATTCTATTTAAAAATACATTGGTTGTTTAGAGGCACTATTTGTAAAGCAAGATAACCACATTAAATGAGCTTTAACAAATATTGGTCTTTGGAATTTCTCAGAAAACATCCACAAGCACCATTGCCAAAGCCTGTATGCTATGTCTGGGTAGACACTAGATTATAGTCTCAAAGCCACAGCTTCCACGGGTCTCTGGAAACGGCAGCAAAGTGAAGAACTACAGGAAGCAAGGAGACACTTAGGTACAGCACAACTCAATAGCCTGTGTTAGTTCAAACTCTGGGAGTCTGGCCCCCAATCCTTTGTTTTAGCATATTCAAGCACCGCACGATGTGGTGATAATGACTTTTGTGATGACTGTCTCAGTCCCTCAAGCATAACAGAGCACACCTAAATCGCTTCGAGGGGCAAAGGAAGCTAGATCAGATGCAACTAGACAGAAACTCTAAAGTACACACGACGCCTTCCATAAAGATAGTTCTATAGATTGACTGAGAAAAACAAGCTTACGAGAAGGGCTGGTGCTGGGAAGCCCCGGTCATACGGGTTCCGCAAAGGTCACCAGGCTAGAAAGCACATCCCTTCAGCCTTTTGGGCAGAAGACAGATTTTCCATTCTTTCTCTTGAAGGAGCAACCCTGTGTGCCTAACATTCCAGGTTCCGTTAGTGCGGTGGTTCTCGACCTCCAGGTAGCGACCCCCTTTCTCGAGGCATTGCTTCCCTGAGTGCATGCTGGTGGAAAGCCTGGTCTCCAGCATTCCTCCCTTTTGTTTACTATAAAAGGTGAGGAGGTAGGAAGGGACGATGGCGATGCAGGAATGCTGTGACATCTTTGGGGACCTAAGACAACGGGGATGCTGGCCGAGGCCTGGAAAAGCAGGCTGCTTCACTCACTGCCCGGATCTGTGGGACCATCTGCGGCTAGGGAAGTACAGGCATAGTTGAGGCAGTTCGTGAGGCTGGACCATCTGGGACTAGCTGTGTTGCAGCTGCCCAGGATGCAGATTTTTGAGGGAACATCTGGGCCTGGCAGGATGCTGGGACAGTATATTATGGGCAGAAGATAAATTTAAGGAGTTTAGGTGGAAATTTTTCTGTAGGTGTACATTGGAAACTTTTAGGCCCATGGTCCTGGTAGTTGAGGGAGGGGATTCTCGGGCCCAGAGAAAGGCACTAGGTGGGGAAACTTGGGCTGCTGATTGACAGGAGTGCTTGTCTTGTGTGCATTTGACCCATAAGAGGCAGATTCAAGACGATTTCCTGAAGCTTATAAGAATATTTTTGTTTGTTTTTGGTTTTGGTTTTTCAAGACAGGGTTTCTCTGTGTAGCCCTGGCTGTCCTGGAACGCTCTGTATCTCAGGCAGGCCTTGAACTCACAGAGTAAAAGTGCAGGATTAAAGGTGTGAGCCACCATCGCCTGGCTCACACCTTTTTTAAGTTTATAAAAACATTTTTTAAGTTTATAAAAAGAGATATGTTTTAGATATGTTAGTGTTCTCACTGTCATCTGTACTGAAACTGTGGTGTAGAAAAGACTCACACCTTTGTGTCACAGCAGGAGCTCGGGAAGACTGGATTAAAAGCATGAACACTCTTCAAGATGAACTCAGGGAGGACAAAACCTCCCACCCAGCAGAAGAGCAAAAGCTCACTTATCTTGATTTCCAGTGTGAATATAGGCCGTGAAAGTGGGGCCTCTTTCTTCCATCCAGAAGACTGGGTGTATATGAATTAGACAGACATTTTTAGCACAATGAGAAGCATTTTTAAGACTATATTTAGGCCGGGCGTTGGTGGTGCA